CGTGACGTTTAGTCGGTTCGTTTAACTATTATTCGTGATATACGTTTTTTTTGGGGGGGGTTAATAAAAGTGTTCCAAACGCGACATTAATTCCTTGACGACCTAACATATTAACATAATTTCCCTATACACAGACGATATGGGCACTTTAAGCGTATAGACAGATATTATGCTCAATACTCAGAAGGTTTAATATTATTATGATTACCTATTATCATCATTACCTTATTCAAGAGTGATACGACATTGATATTCTACTACAGACAGGTATTAACGGAAATTTTATACATCATTATATTAGCATAATTTGTTTACACAGGGATGTAATATAATAGCCTAATTTTAAATAGATAATTACTATAATTTCTTTATACACAGAGGATGATAACGTTACGCCTTATTAATTTATTAATATTATACTAATCATTAGGTGTAGCTGAAACAGATAAACTGTTATTCAAGTAGTTTTATTGTATATACATGTATTTATATTGCCAATGCAGGACACACTACTTTGGACATACAGCCAGAATTGTCTCACAGACTTCCATATGAATCTGAGGAAGAGTTTTATGTCGATGCATTGAGAAGAAATGCCTATAACCAAACTCTAGGTGAAAAGGTACTGTTGACGGCCTTCTTTTTCTACTGTTTTTCTAAGAATGTAGTAACTAGTTTTAAATGTTTTATTTGGTTGTAGGATTACAAATCAATCAAACGCGATGGTTAAGTAATCTTGATCTTATATACATCCAAACCAGCACATTTATCCGAAACGGTAAAGTCATTTTGTTTTGTCGTTTTTAAACTGTGAGTTCTCGTGATCCAGTAGAGTTTTCTAGATTCTAATTAAATAAGGTTTATTCAACCTTTCTTTCCAGGTTAGTTACGGGAAGATCGGCCACAGCACTCCTCCACCTCCTCCCAGTAGAACAGCAGCTAGTAACGGAGAATTATATAACGCCGCTCCTGACGTTCGCTATGTTCCTTTCCCTGTTTCCAGAACAGGCAATAACACGACAAATCTGAGTACCTTTAACCCGAACGTTCTAGAACCTAACTCCAACAGTTATCTAAACCAGATTCCTGATGGAATAATAGTTGAAGAAGAGATGCCAGGACACTTAGTGTGATGTGATGAGATTCTACTTGGAAAAGGAATGGACAACAACTTGATGTTCAGTTAGTAATATTTGACATTGGCACAAGATGATATGTGGAGATAACCAGCCATTATTTTTCAAGTCAAGTGGTTTCGAACCTTTCAAAGCTCAGCATTTAAGGCATAAAGCCAAATATTCACGACCTTTCGTAATCTTTATAGAAAATAATGTTGACATTGAATTAAGTTATAAAACTATATATATACAAAAATCATGAAGCTGTCATCATTTGTGAAGAGTACAATGTTTGAATTTCACCATTACGAAAATCTTGTACTCAGTTCATTTGGGCCTGATAACATGTGTTTATGGTGCTGTTCAACTTGGTCTATGTGCGTGTGTTGAATCGTATAGCCTGTAATATAATGTAATGTGTGTAGTAAACCGTAATCGACTGGATTGTCAGAAGTGTATTGTACATTGTAGTGTACTTTTAAATTAATATAAGACAGGCCTATGTGTAACTGCTTTAGCAACATCAATGAAACGAAAAAAGAAATCATCTCTCGGACAAATGTGCTATTGGTATGATGAATGTGCCTTATTCAGGAGCACGAATATAATATGTCCGCAGACATATTAAGACATAAAGACATAAAGGAGCTCCAGTTATATCAAAGCACCAAATTTTATTGCCTCTTTTTTATGTAATATTTAATGCTTTTTTTCTATAAATACTTTAAAGGATGTAACGTCCGCTTCTCACATTGTTTGACAAATCTGGTTATATCATAAAACTGGTTTTCATTTTACGGTGAGACTTTAAGTTAAAAAGAAAAAAAGAAGTACACTTGGTTTTGTATTTTAACGGGACCAACAACTTTGTGCTTGAACAGGGTTACATATGTTTTTCATCTAAATAATAAATAATAGGAAGTAGGCCTGTTAGTTTTAATGTTAACTTTTAGCGATATTGAGTAACAGTTAATGTACAGTATTACTTAAACTTTGGTGAAGATCTAATTATATGAATATACATAATAATGAATATATATATATATATAACCGTACAAAGGTGGTATGTAAAACTGTTTAATGATGTTACTTAAGATATGTATATCTAGTCAATCCGTTCACCAAAGTCTGCTTCTTGCTCTATAGATGAACATTATTCGTATTTCGTTTTCATGATAAAATGATATTTTAAACTAAAATGTATATACGATTGTTGAAATTAAACTTCATTTTAACAAAGGTCCGAAAGTCGACGACCACCTTCTAACGTAGCCAAAATAATAATTATTAGCACTTAAGATTTCATTTAATAAATTAATCATCGCGCCTTATTTGTGTCATGTAGATTATCATTGTTGTATATTAATACTCGGCTGTCTTCTTCTTCTCAACTTGCCAATAAATTTTGCTTTCTTACAACATGTTTTTGGTCTCACTTTTCTAATATGCTGGTCAACTCCGTGAAACTGAAATTCTCCTTCAAAATAAAGTAAGAGTTTACGTAATTTTTTTAACTTCGGGAGACTTGATTTTCACAAAATAAAACAGATGAAAAAGGGTAAAGAAAAATCTTAGAAATGCTCTGTCCTGTGTGATAGTAATTATGATTATAATATGAGATTCATTTGTTCATTAGGCACCAAACTACTCCATCTTATTTTTTTCAGGACTACATAATCGAGCAATATCAGATTTCGCCAGCTCATGATAGAAAATTTTGACCAAAGGAATTTTGGAAAGACTTGGGAATAAGTAAACTATATAAAACTATTCTTATATCAATATGTGTCCAAAAAATTACTACTTTTTTGTCGTTTTTAACACTTCAGAAAAATGGAACAAAATATTATTCGTTATACGGTTATTTTCAAAAGTTATTCGTTTATACATAATAATTATTAATTATAGTGTTACTGCAACAACAAAAAATATTGCTCTCCACAGTTTGGGATTCTGGATGTGTACCTAAGAGTGATAGTCAAATCCTACTATTCCGTTAGAGTAGCCCATTGGAGTCCTTATTGTAGTGTTGACTGCCTACCTTCCCTCTAGTACATCATTTCAAAGTTAGGGACGTCTGCAGTAGCTGACAATTGTTGACGTAGTGGTTATAGAAATCTTGTGAATGAAACAAAAACAACGGTGGTAAAAAAGCCTCTATCTTGTGTTTCAATAAATAACGGAATGAGTTTTATACATAAGAGTATATCTATCTTGTGCCATGAACTTGTGTACATATACTACGAAGCATCTTGGAGTGGACTTTGGTGTAACTTCGGCAATGGCGAAAGGTTCCGTAGAGAATTTAGGTATTATGCATTACGTTACATTCAACGTGATCTAGATGCATTAATCCAAATAAAATTAATCGTCATAGATTATAAATTTGTAACTAAAATTGTTTGGATAAATCTTTCCAATAACAGTGCCATGGCAACGAAAGATGGCATTGGTCCAAGAACTCGAATAGGCCTACGCCTTCATTTCTGACTAATTCAAATGAGCAAATCAAGTATACAAAAGTGTAGTTTTTAAACTATACAATCACAAACCTTACATTTTTATAGCCTTAAAAGTAAACTGCCCGCTGACTCCACAATGTTGATCTTAAACCTCACTTTGTTAATCAAAAGACTTTCTTTTATATGGGGGCTTCTTCCATTAGCGGTCTTGGCTAAGATCCTTAAAGCGTGTGGTAACGATTAACCAAAAAATCAACGAACTAGAATTGAGGCTAGAACATACACAATCTGAGAGAAACTGCACGATTAAAGTTTTCATGGAAGAGTTGCTGCTCACAAGTCATGGTTTACAAGCCTGAATGGAAGGCGTTGACTAAAAGGGAGCCTGGAACATCGAGATTAGTGTACTGAACAGTAGTCCTTAGTAGTTTACAAATTTATTTGTCCTAGCTGTCTGTAAGGTTATATCGGCTCTAGGAAAATGAAATTAATAGCACGTATAAAACAACAATCTAGTATAACTGAACATGCCCTAAGAGACTGTGATGTAGTTGTCACAACCAAATTTTTTTTAGTTGACAGATCAAACCCAAAGAATAATTGTGGTCTGCCTGTCCTAAGTTCAACATTAGCATGATCTATTGCCTACTTGTTTATAGACATTACCAAAAGTTGGCTTGAAAAAGCCCAAAGTAGCAGAAATGACGCAACACGCATATCCAGTAACCATGCATTGTTGAAGGTCGGTCAGCTCTTTACCTCGTAGCATCTTGATACGAACTGAGATTCTATGTCTGTTGCACGCCTTTAAGGAGTACAGAGCTCACAAAAAAAACATAATTTTAGGGATTTTGGTCAATTTCGGCCAACTTACATGAAATTTGGTACAAAGATACTTTTTACAGGTCCCATACATGTACATACAAAAATGGAGAATATGCTAATTTTTTTGTCATTCTAAAGGGGTCAAAAGGTTAAATAAACCCATCATTTTAGGGGTTTTGATCAATTACTTAGCCTTGTTTCGACCAATTTACATGGAATTTGGTACAAATATACCTTCTTGCAGGTTCTAAGCACTGATATAGCCTCTTTAATTTTAGAAATACAATTTATCTATCTTGTTGTCTTTTTTGTAAATCTTGGTAATAGTTTTCATGTTTCACAATTTCTTCTGATTTTATGCAACCAGTTACTTCCGCTCTCTTACTTCTATCTATTTAAAGTGGCGCCAAAAATTTATAAGATATTTTTCGAAAAATAATCTTTTACGTTTTACATTATTTGCTCCAAAAGTGAAAACATGAAAATATGGTTCCTTTAGAATTTTGAAGTTTTCAAATTACATTCATTAAAATGTTTGCTGGCATATAGTGGACTTTTTTTCGGGACATCTAACACGGAATTTATATAAATTTATCCTTAATCTTAAATTATCTGTTTCAGCAATATAGAACTCACCATAATTTCATGTTCTAAAATATATATTATTTACTTATAATTGCAATTGCAATTAAGTTATTAATGAAAAATTGAATTTCGTTATTATTGTTTTTATTTTTTGGTAATTTTCATGTAATCTAAATTACATAAAGCACAGTACTTTCTGTCACAACTAAAGATACCTTTCTTAGAAAAATATTTTTTTAGGATTATTTAGGTTGCCTTCTTGATAAAATAGATTTATTATTTTTGAAAACATCTTTCAGTTTTTAACTACTATTTATTTTAATTGTATATAACAAAGGAAATATCAATGTGTATACTTGAACAACGAGTCACTACAAAAGGTATTGTATTCTCTTTAGTTTCACTAATCTCACTGTTTGAATGTTTTTTATCAAAAAGTTATTCTTAGCAATTTCAAACCTCTTGATATAATTTTTCCGGATAGTGACACTGAATTAAGAATTCTTTTTACTTTTAATAATCTATTAACTCTCATTTCTTTATTGGAAACCAAATGATTTAATCTTTTTTTTTTCAAGATTTACAGAAACATTTTAGTTTATATGATTACTAAAAATATCTACATGTTGATGTGAAACACTTGCAAACTAAGGAGGACAAGGTTTTATTATTTCTTTCAAACATAAACATAATTTCTTTGTTTATTGAATTTAAAATCCCAACAGACTTATTAATATCTTGAGTATATCTCCATATTACAAAAAATCGTCTAAAATATTTTCCAAAAACTAAACTAAAATAATTAGGTAGTATATAAAATAATTAGCATAAGTTGGAACAACTTTTGTACCCATTGCTGTATTTGAAATTTTATTAAAGATTTGATTCTCATAATAAAAAAACAACTTCTAAAGACTATGTTTAAACCTTTTAAGATAAAAACCTTTGTTACACCCGGGATGAATTAATTACTTGTATTTATCTATAAAACTTTCTATAGTTTTAAGTCCATAGTCATGTTCAATACTTGTATATAAACTACCACATCTAAAGAAACATCTGATTGTTTTTGGCAATTTTTCAACAAAGTCAAAATCATTTCTGATAAGATTCGGAATATGAGATAAAAAAAGTTTTTTACAATATGCCTAAAAGGTCACTTAAATGTTCAGTATTTTTTTTATTACCTCCTACAATCGGTCTTCCTGAAATATTTGGAGATTTTCCAATACGAATATATATTCAATTCTTGTTTCCAACAATGATTCATTAATCTCTTTTGATTTTTGGATCTTAGGAAATACATAAGAGTAATCAATTTCTGAATTACTTAAAACAAAATCTTTTTATTCTTTGTTAAAATCATCTTAAATTCATCAACAAAATTCCTTAATTTTTCTTTTATGAAATTTATGCATATCAGTTTTTTTAAACTTCCCACTTTTTGGTCAACTTTTATATCGCTTAAATGTTCCTAAACCATATGATTATAAAATTATTGGGTCATAATTTCCCACATTTTATCTTTATCCACTTTTTGAAATATGAAATTAGAATTTTTAAGTTTCTTCAGCGATTTCCGTTCCTTTAAAGTTAAATTATCCTTGCCTTGTTTTTCAGTAACAGAACATATTCCAATTTCTTGACACATTAGCTGTAATTCCAAGTTTATTCCTTGAACACGATCAAAATCTTATTTACCATTTTCTAGGGATTGATTTCTTTTTGATACTTCTTTTGAAGACTAAATTTCCTATTGAATTCATATATATATATATCTTCTGCCAGTAATATCTTTTTAGATTTATTGAAAGTTATCTAACCAGTTGAAGAAATAAATAAAGAGAAAAATATGTCAGATTTTTATAAGTAGGTGTCTGTGACTTGTTGGCGATAAATTTCAACAATAAACTGACAGCACACAATCCATAAATAATATATTGAAAACGAGTCAAACGTATATACAAATTCTCGTTACACAATTAATCACCACAGTTGTTTCCAGAGCTTTAAATAATTCTATTTTACACCACAAGTCTATACAGTCTGGTTCAGTTACTTTAAAACCCAATTGACAAGACGAATTATTCTTCTCTACTCTGCGATTATTACACTTTAAAAGTCAGTACTATACACTCTTTACGTCTACATTTACAAACACATTCTAGATCTATTTGACTATATATATCTCACTAGCTTTGTCTGACTTTCACTAACACACTTACTTGCACTAACTTGGTCCCCTATATATATAATGCCCAATTGAGGTAGAACCTTTTACAAATTACGAAACATTATGATGTAACAATAGTCACTTAAAGCAACGAGAAAAATTCAGAAGGTTCGAGTAACGTGACGTCAATTCACATCCATTGATCTACAAACAAATTATTTCCTAAACAGTTACGTAAGCACATTTGCCATAACTATCACTTCAAAAAATAACTTACTTTAACGTTCGCATAATATAAACTAAATAATACTCTCGTATTAAACTTAAAACATACAGTCGTGCATA